ATTAATAATATAACAATTATAGCCTATGCATGAGGTCAATAGAGGAGACATCGACCCAAAGAAGTATATCGTCCTCAGTCCATATACTTTTTTAGGTCAATATATCATTGTATCGACCTCATACAAAGGCTATTATTGTATAACATGGAACCGAAAAATACATAGTTCGGCTGAAACATGCTCCTTTATATTAGTATTTAGTGCAAGAAAACGTTTGTGAATTGTTTAAGACAGACTGGAAGAATCAGGTTTTCTATGTGCTTTATATCTTATTCCTTTGCAAGACTTGTCATTCATTTTCTTCAGCAGGGGACATTATTCCTACTCTAAACAGACAAGAATACTGCTTAATACCAGATAAGCAATAGTATTTTTTAAATTTCATAGAATACTCCTTAATATGGGCTACAGTATTTAGTGGACAAGCAGTATTTTTAAATTGATTTAATACTTAGTAAAAACACAATTATTTTGATAGCCAATATGTTTCCATCAAAAATTACATATGCTCATTGGTAAACGGACAGAAAGTCACAGGACATAAAGTCACAAATTTGATAGGACAAAAAGTCACAAATAATGTGATGACAATTGTTCGAATATATAAGAGAAAGATCTTACAATATTTCCTAGGATTTTTTAGTATACGGAAATGGATAGTAAACTGCACATTGCTAGAAAACAAAAATATTGATGCCAACGTTAAAAACGTGAGTAATGTAATTCAAATAGACAGGAAATACGAAAAAAAGATTTAAAAAACAAAAATAAACAAAATTTTAATCTGCAAACCGAGTCCCTGAGGTAATTTTTTAGATTTTAAAAACGAACTTAGTGTGCATTTCTTTCTAACCAAAGTTTGGTAAACGTTGTGTGCCGTTTGTTATAGTTTGTTAAACGTTACAAAAGTAGAAACAAATGCATCGTTTAATCAGTGTTTACTGACCCTGTTTGAACTGTGAAAACGCATGCACATGTTGTTGGTATTTGAACTTATTACGCGGGGAAAATAGCCTCCGTATAAGATGTTATAGACACAGAGGACATCGCTCCTCTATGCATATTTAATTTTTTTGGCAGTTCTTCATCTTCATCAGATATTTAATGTATGAAGATAGTGATGATAAGCCTTTTTATTGAAGATAACAGAAATGAAAGAAAGGATGGTAATACCTAAATTTTAGTAATTTTAGACATTGTTTTGAGTTATGACAAGCAAGAACATACATCTTTTTTAGTGCGAAAAATATGTTTAGGTATTGATTAAATGTTTAAGTTAGAAAGAAATTCATCGTTTGTACTAACAAACGACGAACGACAAACTATAGACGCATTTGCAGCGAGTGTATAGTTTGTCAAAGTTTATGCAAACTTTGCAAACGTATGTTAGAAACAAATGATCTAAACGTGTGCTCGCTGAACCGTTTGTATCGTTTGTGTAAGAAAGAAATGCGCTCTTAGAGAGATATTCGTTATTTTCATAAAACAATGCGGGCACGTGTCAACGATTACACAACTACTCAGCCGTGAATTATACAATCAACAAAATTGATTGGATTATCCTTATTGCTTGTGACTATAATGTTATGAGAACAGTGTTTTGAATAATATAGAATTAATTATACATGTACAACGATGTTTTTGAGTTGTTTCTGAATTGTTCCATGTTATTAATACTTTAAGGGTAGTGCGTTTTAGTGATTATGGAGAACAAAATATATGATAAATGATAGAAACAAAGAGGAAAACAGAGTCAAATTCATTTTTCAAAATTTATTTTCACATTGAAATATACTATTCATTGATTCTATAAACCCCATCAAGACCCTCACAATGTTGATTGAGCTGATGCGTTCTGTATTTTGAGGTATGAGAGATAACTAGTACTGCGTGTGAGTCCTGGAAAATAATGCGGATTGGTCTGTTGTTTCAACAGATGAATTAATCAACAACATCCTGTCATTGTTTATTGAACCTGAATGACCACCTAGGGTATACATCGATATCCTGTGACACGAGTGTAATCTATTGAATAACTTATCAAATTGCACATCACTAAGTTTAAAATTACAATTAGCAGTACAATTCAACTAATTCAACATTTTGAAGTCTGATGATAACTCGACCTATCAGAATTTAAAACAAGACACTTGATTAACGTCTCTATAGTATGCAAGAACATAAAATACCATATTGCAATTCTGACAAAAAGAAACATACTATACGAATAACAACAGCAACAAATAAAACAGATAACATAACAATTATCATAATGCATCAGTAGCAGGTAAACACTATTATAATGAGACTACAATAAATTGCTTTTTTCTTTTAAAAACATTGAAATATAGCTGTAAATCACATGCTGATATCATGTACCATAGATTATACATCTATGCATGTACTTAGTTTTGTTTCGTTTGGTTTTCTGCTGTTTTATATATCGGAATGAAATTATTTCTAAGTACAAATATTTTTTACATACAAATAGATAGTGAAGTTAACCTCCTTTAGTGTTTCTCTATAGAATGATGATTAATTCTGTTCTCTGATAGGAAATCCGACAAGTACACTGTTTCAATTAGAAACTAGTTATTTAAGAGTATGTAAATTTATATGATTAAAAATTGGAAAAACGATTTTCTTTCTCAAATCTTGTGGAGTCCCCTGGATATCTTAAACTTTCTCCTCTTTTAACAGAACATCAAAAGCATTTTCCTCGGACAATTGTATCATTCAAGTTGTTTAGTTCTTATAGAATAGCTATATATACCTTTGTAATAGCAAAAATGCGAATTTGTATAGAAAATTTTATTTTAGAAAAAAAATCAAAATCATTCGAAAAAAAAAACCACCAATTTTTTATAACCCGATTAATTCACTCCTCGCCATATCGATATCTCCTACTTATGACGTACCCGTCATAGAGCACAGAAACATAAAGATTGAATTAGCAAATATGTGTCTTCATTTTTTTCTTCTTCAGTCAACGATTAGTAAGACACAAGACACAATTCAAGTTTCTTTTCCTAATTTTAAAAACAATTTTAAAGCATTCTGAATATTAATAAAGTAGATGTGAGATATTGAATGAAACAGCAATCAAGATATATTACAGATTTTCAACATTCTTCAATCATGATAAATAAAGCAGCCAAGATATTTGAGTGCACTCTTTTTTTTATTGATAATTTTTTTTTGCTTAATTAAAGATTGTAAAGTGCCGATTTTTTTTCTGCATAATACTTTTGATATGTTCGCAATTAAAAAAAAAAAACCTTTGCCTCAGTAATTTCAAGATTTTATAGTGTATTATTTCGCCATAAATACAAATTTTATTGTCAATTTAGCGGTATTTCTAACATTGCCTATAAGAGAGAGATTTGGCTTGCCATAAAACCAGGTTCAACCCACCATTGTTAAATTGAATTGGATTCACTGTAACTCCATTTACCGGTAAATTTCATTAATCTCTTTGACAAAAAAAAACCACCTTTCTACGACATGGATTTTTTACCTTTAAAAGCTAAAAAATTACCATAGAGCAAATTACATGGATGATTAGTATTGACCATTTGGTATAGGCATATGTCCGTTTTCAAAGCGATACGTACATGCAGGACATACATTATTTTGTTGAATAAAATCAAATCTACAAATGGGTGCCGTAGGAGGACCACTGGAGTTTTGAGCAAGGATTTCTTGGCATGTAACAGATCGAAAACTCGGGGTTATGATATTTCATGTATATTTTGAACACATGGAGGGTTACCCCGGCATCCTTTGCAAAAAAAAAAAAATTTCTTCTATGTGCCTTCGGACTTTATGTTTTGAATTGTAGTTCCACTTTCCATATTCGGTATTTATTCTGAGTCAAGTGCCTGTGCGGAGACTCCAAAGCAGACAACACGCATGTGTATAACGGCATTATAGATTTTCTTATAAAATGACGAGAGTTGCCGGTCCGGTACATGAATAGATCAGTTAGAAAGCTAGGTTTTAATTTTCTAAATTAATTAGATTGGAAAGCTTAATTCGAGGGTTGAAAATAGAGAGCGCAAAAAAGGGGGTTGGGGGTGTTCCACAGGGAATATTTTTATTTTATAAACGCTACATTTGAAAGGTTTATATTTTTCTATTTAATCTTTAACTAGTAATGGATGCCGTAGGAGGTCCATCGGAGTTTTGAGCAAGGATTTCTTGGCATGACAAACAATTCCAGATGTTGGTCCGAGAAGCGTGAACACACCGACCTGACCAACATAGAATTTCCGCTGACCAATGTCCTAACTGAGTGAAAGATACAAACATTTTATAAACATAAAAAGAAAACTTTAAATGTTTAACATATAAGGATTATATATTATTTTCAAAGAAAACAAATATTTGGGAAAATATTTCCAAATTTGAGAAAAAATTTCGAGTTTTATTTTAGAAAAAAAACATCATATAGAAAACAAAACACAAAATGCATTTACAATCTCAAAATTTTAAGGGAGAAAAAAGAAATTGCAAAAATTTATCGGTATATTTTTAGGTTCGTTCGTTCGGGTTTTTAGTGTAACCTTCGTCAATACATGAATAAAGAACCCGTGTTTTAAAATCCTCTAAATGCACAAAAAATGTAAACAGTTGTGTTCAATTTTAATATATCTGCTTGTTATATCATTCCTTATCGTGGAAATAGTGTTGAAACTGTTTATTCGAGTATATTTGGGTATATTGGGGTAAAAAGTCATTTTGTGATCGTAAGCGGCTGACATGAACAGAACAAGTTACGCGTGAAAAAGTGATTTAAAATTAAATATATTCATAAAATAAAGTATTAATGTCGTTAAAATAACATTTAAATGCCTAGTGTAACTTTGTTATTCAATCAAATTATGTTTAAACTGCTTTTTGAGGTATATTGGGGTATGTTGGGGTATATTGGGGTAAAAAGTCACGCCGCCGTCCGAGTGCATATTTCGAAAATTATCTCCCCTTTCCGGAAGTGAAAAAATAAAAACAAGTGCTTTGACTTTTACCATGTTTTCCAATAACAACAACAATAAACAGAGCTGAAGATAATTGCTTTGAGAAAACCTTAAAAAAAATATTTGATGCAAACATGCATGAGGCAAATAAACCCACAAATTGTTTAATATGGCAGGTGTCACGCCGCGACAGACTGACATGGTTTCCTGACGGCTGCCATTGTCGACCCTGACGCCTGCGAAGGTCATGTTCTGACAGCCCACCTCTGTACAACGACAAATTGTCTTTAAGGAATTTGAGCAATAAAAAGAAGAGAAACATGGCGAGGTCATATAAAAAGGGTTGAAAGGTAATTTCAAAATTCACCGCACATGTGTCTATATTCGAGTGTTGTCTGACATGTCTAATTATTATATAACTCGACATTTATATACATGATACATATATTTTTATTTAACTTAGTTCTCAAAGACAATGCTTTAAATTTGTCATGTTTTGGTCTAAAAGTGTGTCAATATTTTGGGTTGCAATTCAAGTTTTCTATCTTTTCAATTTTAACCCCCTCCTGATGACACACTAACTTATGTTAATTATACATCTCAAATTTAAGCACATGAAATAAAAAAGGCAAAGATAAATACATTAACTGAGTGAACAATAAAAAATTCATATCACTGAATATAGTACTTCATGTTGATCAATGATGCGGCCCCATATGACCTGACCCAAATTAATCCATCCCAAGTAAGTCCAGCTGCCCCATTTTAATGAATATTTAAAATTATATATCATGTATATATTTCACTTGTATTTTATAAATGTTTATGAATTTTATGAATAATAGCAAAGGTGGATGATAAAAAATGTATATTCAAATATATTATTTCCATTAATAGAATACATTTATTCAAATAATTTTTTCAATATTCTAAATATTTATATAATAAGATTTCATCATGTTCATATTGAAGAATATATTTTTTCAATGTTGAATATTTATATTATCAGTTTATCACCTTTAATGATAATGCAGTAAACAGGTAAATGTGAAATATAGCATTTATGTTGATTACAATTTTATAAGAAGTTATCAAGAATATTGATATTTGCATTATTATTATACTAAAACATAAATTACAGAAGTTAGTACAATAATTAGTCAACGTTAATCACAAATTTTTCATAAGACTTTGATCTTCATAATCATATAATGTTTTCTACTTGGTGTACATGTATATATTAGCAATTGGCAATGATTGGTTACACAACATGCACAAGCTTATCCCCAAGCTAATGCACACAAACTACTCAAATTGAAAAATATTGTTCAATTTGCAGAATCCCTTTCATAAGAAGTTACTTTCCTGTTTCTCAACACTGTTTCCTTAAAAATATTCCTCTGATCAATGAAATTTATACAACCTTTTTCATGTGCTAATTGACATTTATGAACCAAATACTTCACAGAAGTCTCGGACTTTTATAGTAGTTGTTCATTATTTCATTATGGGTCTGGATCGACCTGGGACTGGAATCACTTGGGGCCAGAATGACCTGAAACCAATTATAAATATCTTTTACAATCATGACAATATGAATATTACTTAACAAAAAACGAAGTGTACATAGCATACACATGATACATGTACATGTGCCACCCCTGAATCTGGAAAAGGTCATTTTTTTTTTGGCATAAGAATTGTCAACTATGTTCAAACAGTAACAACAATAATAATTTCTCTAGAATTTAAATTTTGATATTTTGTGGTATTCTGTAATAAAAAGACACTCCCCCTCTTATACTTAAAATCTTAGATTTGAGCAATTTTTTCAATAAATAGAGATTGAATTTAGATTTATATACTTTGCAAGCCGAGAAGACAGACTCACATTTCGGGTGAATGATAGATCCACTGGTATCTAAAACAACTGTGCAAATGGAAATCTGTGAAAAACACCAAGTTACATGTTATAGTAATAATACCATTCCCATTAACTTTTACTGTACTGAAGGTCTACAATTAGGCTTTCAGTTCTTTTTTATATGCCCGTTTATGGGACGTATTATGGTATACCGTTGTCCGTCGTCAACATGTCAGACATTAACTCAAAAACGCCCTAACCAATTTGCATAAAACTTTGGTGAATGTTTATACCTATTGAAGTGAGCTCCCTTTCGGTTTTTATAAATTTCAGATTTTACGTTTCTGAGTTGTGAGGTTTTATTCATTAAAAAAAGGGGGATTTTCCAGTTTTCGGACAATAACTCCAAAATGCGTTTAGCAGTTCTCATGAAACTTTGGTGTTTTGTTTATATCTATTGATGTAAGCTCCCTTTCGAATTGTATAAATTTTAGATTTTACGTTTCCGAGTTGTGGTGTTTTATTCATTAAAGAAGGGGGGATTTTCCAGTTTTCGGACAATACCTCAAAAATGCTTTCAGCAGTTCTCATGAAACTTTCGTGAATAGTTTAAATCTATTGACAAAAGCTCCCATTCGATTTTCATAAATTTCTGATGTGACATTGCGAAGTGATTGAACTTTATTGTTTGAAAACGCGACTGGCCTATCATGCACTCATGGCGCAGCTGTTTATTCATACATGCTAACTGCACATCCTTTATTAGGCTTGATATCAGTTGAATACAAGTGGTCTAAGTAGCCTATCTACTCACTGTAACACTAGCTGGCAACTCTGAGGTTGTGAGTTCTATTCAGGCACATGGCATGTGCATTCAACCCTAATCTTAAATGACTAGGATTGTCAGTTATCCTACCAAAAGTCAGGGTTCTCTCAGGGCACTCCGGCTTTCACAACCAATAAAAACTGATCACCACGAAATAGCACAGTAGTGCTGAAAGTGGCATTAAACACCAGTCAATCTGTTGATTTACTCCGGAAGTTTTCATATTAAAACTTTGTTTTTGTGTGAACATAAGTTTTTACATGTTGAAAGTTATGTTTTGGTTGTGTTGACAAATCAAAGTTAATCATTGTTCATTTATAAATGTAAAGCCATAAAGTCAAAAACACATTTGGACAACCATTTTAGATTTCAATTGTATTTGCCAGTAAATTCAACAAATGAACAATAATTACCCCATGAAACTAAAACCCTTTATACAAGTTGAACGATGACTAAAATATATCTCTAGCAGCCTAGTTGAGTATCTCAACCACTTTCAATAGAATAATCCAGAAGAATATGCCAAGATTGATTTAATAATTTCTGAGTCAATAGCATGTACTTGTTACATGCAGTTCTTCTTACTAAGAGTTATTAATAAACTTACTTCAGAAAATAGTGAAAGGTAAAAACTTCTGCAAAGCAACTATATTTAACATGTTTAAACAAAACATGGACTTGAATATTCCAAATGGTAAAATATGGTTCTAATCTTCCTAGTGGCTCCCTTGTTTCACTATTCAATTTTGATATTTATTCTATTTAATGGTTGAATATGCTTAGCACATGTGCCATTCGTTTCCAACTAAGGGTCAAATTAAAGGTTGCATCCATACAGACCCAAATGAGGTCAAATTATCGTCTTGTTTGTTATATTCTTAATCTCCAAAGAGTCTGTTAAATAAGACTTGTTAGAGCTTAGACATATTGTTTAGACACTTTGTCTATTGATGAATAACCTACATTCAGGGGTGATACTTATACAACATGTACAAGTGTATTTTATTTGACATGTACAAGTCAATTATTTTAATGGTATACATTTTGTAGTTATATTCTTTAGATATTCAAATAATTTTTACTTACACAAGTTAAAAAGTCATATTTTCTTCTTTTCTTGAATTTCTTGTATTATGTCTAATAGAGAGCTTAATTTCTTTTTAAGGCCTTGAACATGTTGAACAGTTACTTAAATCTTTGCGCAATTGATTTCTCTGTTGAAATAATGAGATGAAAGGTTGAACTCTAATTAAAAATTGTTAGAAAACCAGAGAAAAATTGTTTCAGACATGTTTTAACCTCCCAAAACTTGAGATTTTTAGGGGTTGTAAAATTAGATTACTTATATAAGTAAAAATTTTTGGAGAAGATTAAGGGGAGATTATTCAAGCATTGAAAAGAAAATATAAATCTTACAAATTTACTTATACAACGTCAAGTATATAATTACTTACATCTTCAAGTAAATAAAAATGACTTGTATAAGTATCAACCCTGACTGACCTATGTTAACATCTATATATATATACAAATGTATTTTACCCTTATCTGTCGTTCCGTCATTCTGCAACAAACACTTATACAAATTTTTTTCTAAATGCCTTCACTTATTTAGCTGATTTATAGTATGTGAGTCTACTACGATGAGTTACAGATGTAGTTTATGTTTGGTTGCACTCCACTACTTTGTGTTGAAATTACGGGCTTTGGACTTTGAAAATTATGTGAAAATACACAGTTATACAGACTTTCATTCTTAATTTTCCACTCCTAAAAATGGCTCCAATGCAATCTTTTTAGGGGAGGGGGGGGGGGGGGGGGGGGAGGGCATTCGTGTTTCTACACATCTAGTTGGTTTTTGTGTTGTTGGTTTGCTATCTTATAAACATAAATGTATACCAGAATAGTCTACTCACTTTAAAATATCTAGTTTTATTGACTGTCCAGTAAGATATAATTTATTTTTACATTAACATTGACACAGAGATGTTTTATTAATCCAATTATGTGCCCTGTTTATAGCAGTACAAATATTCATAACTAAAGAAACAAGTTTGGAAATAAGCAAAACATGATTGCACAAAAAAGTGTATGGGAAACATCTCAAATGAAGTAAATTATTGTAAAAATAGATTTAATACATAAAGGCTACTTTTTTTTTAGGAAAATTACAGACTTACTGCCAAAGCCAGAAAATAAATTTTAAGGAAGATGAAGAAATAACTAAGTATGGAAGATATCAAGATAGTCAAGATAGAACCTCAAACTAATTTGTTGGAACATTCATTTCAAAATGTAAAGAAGTTTGCTGAAATTTTATACAAATGTAAGCTTTGTACATCTTTACCATCAATTCTAACATCTGAAGAAAGTTTTCTGACCCATGTTAACAATACCCACTACCAAGAGAGTGATGCCCTCAAGAAGTGTCGAAATTGTAGACTGAAATTCCGCACAAAGGAAGATTTATGGGCTCATCAGAAGTTAATGCACTCTGATTTTGGGAGTGAAGATGATAGTTCTGATGATGAGAATGATAAATTTGAAATTGCCTGGCAAATAACTACAGACCATGCAGATTTAAACAGTGTTGATCAGCTGAAGCGAAAGAAAGGAAAAAAGGAAAAACACAGCAGAAAACAAAAGAAATTGAAAAATGTGGCAGAAGAGGATTTGGAACAAGACCCTCATGTAGTTATAACTCATGGTATTGAACATAGCATATCTCCAGCACCACAGAATGATTCAGCAAATCTTAAGAAACTGACCAATCAGATCACTTCAGACGCTAGTCCTACAAGAAGTATGGGGAACAATGGAAATGTTTATAGTTCTACTCCAGAATTTGGCAAATATACAAAATTGATACGTGAAGGTGGAAATATAGTTTATTTTTGTCAAGTTTGTAATTGGAAATCCCAAATGAAAGTTATGTTTACAGAACATTGTAAAAGTACTTCACATTTAGTTAAAGTGACTGTAGCAGAACAAAATGATAGCCATGAGAAAAATACCAGTGAAAACTCTTCACAAAACAAATATGAAAAAAGAGGACATTTTATGTCATTTTTGGATGAAAAAATTAACTACTACATCAACAAAAGACTATCTAGTGAGTCAATTAATCCTGAAATAGAGGAAAAAGATAGCCAAATAGAAACAAGAAAAGAATCTGTTCCCATTACAAATGATGACCATGTAATTAGTGTGGAAATTAAACAAGAACCTGAGGATGTTCCAGTCAATGTTTCAACCGTTAAGGATCATATCGAAACAAAAAATAATCTTCACACCAATAGAAGAAAGAGAAAAGTAATCAGTAGATTAGTGAAAAACAGTGAAATAGAGAATGGCAACTGGTCAGATGATGATTCAGACAGTATACCACAACCAACGTCAAACAAAATATCTCGACAGTATATAGACAGCTGTAGTGATTCTCAATTCAAAATACAAAAATCCACTGCTCAGTTCTCTCCTTTGAATCTCAAGACCATGGAGGATGAATCTCAAAGTAGTAAAACGGACGAACAAAGTAGTGTCAGTGAAGAGAAGGAAACATTAGGAAGAGAGCAGTCCGTGGGGAATGTTAAACGTGATATGTTGGTGAAAGATGTTATATCTAAAGCTGTAGATAGTGAACTATATCGTAGCAGCATGTATATGTACCGATGTTCATTGTGTCCATTTGTATGTAATGATATCACAGAATATAGGTAAAGTTGTACTTATATAGCTTATAACCTATACATGTACTGCCGTGTTACATTTCGAAATTTACAGAGGCATATCTTCCGTGTCCTCTGCAATTGTTGGCTTTTTTCCAAATTTACTGTAATAAATTGCATATTTCAAACTAACAATATGTAAATGTAATATGAAGGCAACGTATATCCTAGCTTTAAGAACATAAGAAGAAGAATATTTATTGTTCCAGTTAAGGCACTTTATGGGCAACATGACATTTAACTAACATTACCGATTACACTATGATTTTATATTACACAATTGCACAATGAAATGAAATATAAACTGTTCATTTATATACTTACATCTATATCTCATGTTAATCACCTACATTTTTTTCAACACATGACCAGAACATTTTTGATATGAATGTATGTTATACCCACAAAATTTCAGAAAATTATATATACATTTATGTATATACATGTATCATGCATGCATGTCTCATTCAGTGTATTGTGTTGTTATTCATACAGTTTGCTTGGTAATCATTAATTAAAATGAATCCATATTTTATTTTGTTCAGGGTCCATTTTGAGACAGAACATGAGCCAGAACAACAAACAGATGTTGTGACGGAGTCTGGATACACTGACTGTAAAACAGAGCAGTGGAAAGTACTGAGGATTAAAGAACTACTTCCTGGTGAGTAACTTCTGACCAAAATGTCAGACCTGAAATTGTTGATAGCTGGTGTAAAAAATATAATGAAACAAATGATAAGTATAAATGTACATGCTGGCTCTGCACTTAAATTAGTATTTGCAGATATTTATGCCCGAACAAAACATGTCAGTCCATCCAATATGCCATGGAAACTTGTTCGACAATGAAAATTATCTAACATAGTGTTTTAATGCATATCTTTGCTGTTTTTTGTTCTTATCAGTTTGAAAAGTCTTGAAGTTTGACAATGTTTGACGAATAATAAAAAAAAAACATTTACATTCTAGACATTTTATTCCAATCAAGATTTAGCCTACAGAATTTAACATTTTGTTTTGCCCCACTTGTCTATATTTCTAGTGAGATAAATATATTCCATCTGACTAGCCTCTAGGCATAGTTATTTGAGACAAAGTCATATTAATCTGCTATTAAGGTATTCAGGTATTAGGGTAGGCATACACTGAAAAATAAGAAATTTTTGAAATTTACTAGTCTATGGTTAGTTGCAAGCTGAAGCAGCAAACCATGAGCAGCCATTGCATTTGGGGAAATATTTGATATATTTTCTTCATAATTAAGAGATGCACATGTAGCAATCAAACAAAAAGTTTGTATGTAATATATATTGCAACTATATATTTTTGCCTCCTTTTTTTGGCCATTCTGTCCATCAATAATTACTTTTAACATTTAAGATGTCAAGTTTGCTTCAGATCTTTATTGGACTTTTGTTTATGGTATACATATGTGGAGTACATGAATCTTGTTAATTTTGATGTCCAAGGTCAAGTTCACAATTTTAAAAAGATGCTAAGGATACCAAAGAGAGATTCAAACTCATAAGTCGAAAATAAACTGACAATGCCATGGTTAAAAAAAAAAAGACAAACAACAGTACACAAAACACAACATAGAAAACCAAAGATGACCAACATGAACCCCACAAAAAACTAGGGTTGATCTCAGGTGCTCCGGAAGGGAAAGCAGATCCTGCTCCACATGTGGCACCCGTCGTGTTGCTCATGTTAGTACAAACCAGTGATAAGTCTAATTCGGTAGGTCAGGACGGGATTGTAGTTACGACAATTGGAACATATCCGTTGTCATGCATTCAACTTTTATCATGTTTATCAAATTTAATTAAATGCATAGCTTGAATCACATTTAATTTCAAGGTCAGAGGTCATAATTCAAGGTCAGAAACAGAGTGAGAAAATTAAAGTTTGTCGTCACAATGGAGTGTGTGTGTTTCATCAAATCTCTGAATATAGCCCAGTGTTCTATGGGGAGAGAGCATACTTTGATTTCAACCTCAAAGGTCAAGTCCACAACATGACCAAGAAGTTATAAGCTATATATATATATCAATAGCATGAGTTCGAATCCGGCCAGGGAAGAACCAAAATTTGCTACTGCAAAATTTACAGATCTAACATTGTTGGGCTGTTATTTAGTCGAATTATATATAGAATGTGTTTTCAGCCTTGTATCACCATCACTGGTGATCCCATGGATAAAATCTGTCGTAGAGTTGTCACTGGTTCAGACGTACTTATAATATAATTATTTCTGTGACTGCATCCTACATTAATTTGTAAGATCGTCTATGATAGATAATTCAGCTGATCTGTAATATTCCATTATCATGCCTTATATATCATGTACTGTGTTATGATGCTAGATAAAAACTGACGAGGAAAGGTAACACCCGGCCACCGAAAGCTTGATTTTTGTCGAGGCTAGGTGGTTGAGTGGTCTTGCGTGCTGGGCATAGTGCAAGGGGATTTGGTTCCACGATATCTCAGTAGCATAAATTTCGAATTCCAGCCAGGGAAAAACAAAAATTTACTTCCGCAAATTTACACATCTTACATTGTTGGGCTGTTATTTAGATGAATTTTCTATATATATATATTTATATATATTTATAACAGTATGCAAGTAAATGTATTATATTAAATGAGTCTTTGTTTTTACAGACATAATAATAGCTCATCCTAGAGGAAATGTTTCACGTGACCTTTTACTACAGAAAGCCAGTATGATGGCAAGTGAACCAGAGATAGCTTTGTGGGGACCAGCATGTAACAAGGCTTTACGAGAATTGTTTCCTGATAGTTTGGCACAGCGCAAAGGAAAATACAAAAAATATCCTTTTTAATTATTCATTGAATGCATTATTTTTCTTGCTTCTTAATGTGAAAGTGTTGAATGAAATACATACAAAATGTAAGTGTGCGTACACTTATATTTATATATACATAATTTTTTTATTTGTATGAAAGAAAATAAGCATAATATACTATAAGCAATGGAATACTTGTAAGGCCAAAAAACTATATATATGACTATGTAAGGTTAAATAAAATAGGGAAGGTAGGTCGGTATTTCCATTTTATTTTATTTTTTCATTTCACTTTTTGCGACATGATTTTGAGTCATGCAGTACGTCTTGTTGTGGTTCGAGTTGTTCATGGGCCAAGTTTATCAGGCAATTTATTTATTTTATTGGCAACACTAACTTCGCTTTTGACACGAGTTCAGTTTATTGTTCACTTTAAGACAGAAATAAGATGACTTAGGGTCGGCGCTCAAAAGTAGGGTCCCTAAGGTAACCGTAAACAGACATATTTTTTTTTTAGGCCTAAATGAATCAGGTTCAGTGCTATACTATAGATTCATTTATTTTCTTCTGTAAAAATTTTCGTGGATTGAGGTAAATAGAATTTTTGCAAATGCAAGAGTCAGGTCAACAGTTCTCTTGTGGGGAAATGCTTTTTAAATTTATATAGTTTGCAGTTCTGATTTTATTTAACAGTTAAATTGTAGTGATTCACCTACAATATATATCTATAGTTGGTTTACCCTTATTTCTCTGTCAATATTTAGATATGCATTATACCTGTTAACTGTGTCCTTACATTGAATATTAATAACTTTTTTTTTCATTTTATTATGCTCTTTTACTCTTTAGAACCATTTGTCTATTAAAAGTATAGAATACAAGCCTGAAACAATTACTACTTTACCAAACAGAAAAAACACTTGGAAAAAGAATTTCCTTAACACTCTCACAACATATTTCTTTGGTGTAGCCTTGATAGATCAAGTACAACAGGAGGACACAGCATCTGTAGATGGAAACGATGTAGATTTCTCTCCTCTCAGAGACATGACACAGGACATGGATAAAATACTACAACATCTACATAGTAAGACCTATCTGATGTATATAGGAAATGAGTTGGGTTTTCTATTAGCATCAACCGCCTCCGTGGTCTTATGGTAGCGTGTTTGCCTTGAGTGCAGCCTGGTTAAACCAAAGACTTTAAAATTGGTATTTGCTGTTTCTCTGCTAAGCATATGGCATTAAGGAGTAAGAGCAAAGACGGTCAGCTTATAGTCAGAATAATGTGTCTGGGTAGTGTGACATGTCTTCCTACAAATTGTTACCTTGTCAACTAGCTCATTGAAAATATAGCTAAGCATGCCAGTCTAGTACAAAGCAGTGTTGATATTCATATCCCATTAACATGTTCTTTCCTGAATATGCATTTAATTTGCTGGCAGACGTTAAGCAGCTATCCATCCATCTATTAACATCAACGTTTTCTTCATATATTGTAATTTGCTTATTGATAAATGTGTATTGTATCAGGGATGGGGTAATCGTAATCTGTAATCGTAATCGATTGTAATTGATTACATTTTTTCCAGTAATCGACAGTAATCTGTAATCGAAGACATTTTCGATTACATGTAATCGTAATTTAATCGATTACAGCAAAAATCATGATGTAATCATCGATTACTTTCGATTACATTTCGATTACTTTAGTAAAATAGTTTGATGAAATATAACCTAGTATTTTCAATGAAAACATGTATGTATTCATCACTTTGAAGTACTGATATGACTTAAGAGTTTATCAAATGCCTTTATATTTCTATCTATTGTCTCAAGCTGCATTATGATCAACCAGATCCCCTACCATAATTTACTTTATATCTAGCTTTTGAAACAAATGGATTGATGTGCTTGTCACTAAGTCAACACCTTTTATATTAAAATAAGAAAATAGATTTAAAATAAGAAATGTGTCTTAAGTTAAGTTCTGTACTTCCTTAAAGTAGTAAGCTTATTTGTATTAAATTTCCTAAAAGCATAATTTTCAATAAGATTTAAGCTTAGAATAGATAAAACAGTTGATTTCTTATAATGTTAAGATATACATGTATATGAAAAATAAGTACACAAAATCCTTTTAACAATGAACCAATGCCTATGCATTGAAATTCTTTTCAGAAAAAGATACATGTATCCCTCGTTGACACTATAAATATATACTGTTTATAATTTTATTATAGAATAAAAAAATCTTAACAAACTTGTCTTTACTAATCAGATGATCAAAGTCTTCTAATCACTATATAAGACACATACTTTGTTTTTATTTCAATTACTGTTTGTCTAATTAAGATGGAGATTTACATTATTTTGCCCCAGGTTATAAATTGTACTCCATTGGCAGTTTTATAACCTATAATTAAGGTGGTTTTCAAACAAAAGGATTAAATCATGTTTGTCATTATAATTATAAATTTTGATCCTTAAAATAAGCAGAACTAATTAATAATTCTACTTTTTTATATTTTCTTCTGAGAAAACTTCCAACATTGTAAATAACTATGCTAAAATATACCTGCTTTTAATGAATAAAAACAAAAAAGCTAAGTTAAGTCAGTACGAAAGCAAAATTATTGAAAAAAACTTTAAACATATATATAAGTGATTGATGGAATGCAATGTCATCTCTAATTCATGTTGAAAGTCAAATTTCAAGATTTTTTTAATAATTCTGATCCTCAGTAAGAGATTCCATCTAGATAACAACTGTCAACTTATAATTTGGAAACAATGATTTAAATGCTGTTTTTTTGGTAAAGTTCTAAACACCTACTATACAAACGTTGATCAACATGATAGTGTTTAACTTACTTTATTTTTTTTTAAATTTTGAAGCATGTAATTGACAGTAATCGAAAAGTAATGTAATTACTTTTGATAAAGTAATCGATTGCAATCGATTACATACAAAAATCTGAGTAATCGATTATTAATCGATTGCACAAAATACCTTCATGTAATCGATTATTAATCGATTACATTTGTCAGTAATCGTGCCCATCCCTGTATTGTATCCTTTTGTAATTTCACTTAGTTTAAGTTGTTAATATATTTATACATTACTATGCTAATTTTTTAACAAAGGCATTCTTTATAGCATTATTTGTTTTTTTCTTATATGTCAATTTAATGGTATGATATTTCTGTTGAATTATAAACACATTTTAATTTGATCGAGTTTGTAAATAGATGTGAATACTTTTAAAAAGTTTAATAGAATAACTTTCCTTTTTTTTCAGCCATAGTACGATGGAGGGGTGATTTAGAAGCTGGCGTTTCTCGAGATGATGTATTACATATACTCGGACGTAAGATTGATGACCCTGAAGTCCAGCACTGGGGTGTACAATGTAACAGAGCAATCAGAATTCTTTTCCCACACGTACAGATGAAACGCAAAGGAAAATACAAAACATATCCTTTGAATATATAACTGATTTTCCATATAATGTATGATATTAATAATAGTTTGTAATAGTTAAATAAAATGATACAGGAAAACAATCTTAAATTAAAAGTAAAACAAAGTAAAGAGATTATTGATTATCTAATGAAAAACTTTTAAAAAAAAAATAGGTTTTCTGATGATGTATCTAAATAGGAGTGGGTCTTCACAGCTTAATATGAATATAAAAAAAAGAAGTCTAGGCTTTTTGATGATGTATTTTAGTTAGAGAGGTAATTGATATGAATATTAAGAAAGTCTAGGCTTTCTGATGATGTATTTTAGTAGGAGAGGTAACTGATATGAATATAGGAATGTGGGGTATACCACAGCAACCCAACAACACAAACAAATAAAATATCTGGAGATCAGCTAACAGTTTTTGTCAAAAGTCCAAGGTCTATTCTATTGAATCTATGCCATGTTGAGTGTTAAAGAGCTATTATTAAATATCATGCAGAGTGAAAACACATTACTTAGATATGATTTTCCTTAACTTTATCACTACAGTATATTTTGGAGTAACATTTTCTGATCAGGTGACAAAAGAGGTAAGACAATAATTACAGAATAAGTAACAGGTATCTGGCTTTAAAATGGGATCATCTAAAATATGAAATACAATCAAAACTCTATTAATCAGTTACTTGACCAAACCTAAAGTGACCACTCAAGAGATATAACATCTTAAACAAGTTTCTTTATTCAAACATACACCTTCTTCTGAGATGGCAGATAGGCATGTGATATCCATATTGATAAAAATAACAATAGACATTAACATGATTAAGACCGATTTAAACTACACTGGTTCTTTGTAGATCAATTTCAATTATACACAGGGTTCTGTTTGGTCAGCTTCCACTATATACACAAGATTCTATTAAGACAGTTCTATTTTTACTGCATTGTGATTTTAAAACCAAAGTATTGCAAGGATATAAAATGTTGTGCCTGATGAAATGACATAAGAAATTTATGTTGTTGAAGTTTTTGGTATAAAAAAAAACCAACAAGTGTTAAAGTGCTTTCTTTTCTTTTAAGTTCATTAGTAAATGTTGTTATTTATATTTGAAAACCTTAAAATCATGATATTTGCCACTGGAATTTAGAAAAGATCAATATATATTTGATATTTACAAGTATGAGAAAGTTGTTGATATAAATGATAATCATATTATATACTTTAAACAAGTATTAAAAAAAAAATGTCATTTTTGTTCAAGAATGAAAGTCTATATATCAAATTTTTTTTAGGACTTTGCATCCTTGACAGCACCAAAATCAAGAACACAGAAACCTGCAGTTAAAGATGATGGGGTCAGTATATTTCTATGTTAAAGATGATGGGGTCAGTATATTTCTATGTTAAAGATGATGGGGTCAGTATATTTCTATGTTAAAGATGATGGGGTCAGTATATTTCTATGTTAAAGATGATGGGGTCAGTATATTTCTATGTTAAAGATGATGGGGTCAGTATAGTGATATATTGTATACATTATTTGCACATTAATTAAAATAGTGATATATAATGATGGCTGTCTGATTTTTGGAGGAATTGGACCCTTTTACTCTTCTAAATATTCCAGATTATTTCTGAGAGTAATTTTCAAGTAGAAATATTTTGGGTTTTATTATTTTGTTAAACATACTGTTTTTCCTATATAAATTGTCAAGTTGATTTGATTAGTTATTTCCAGAGATCAAATTCAAAAAACATGCGAAGGAAATAATTAAAATTTGTGCATAGCAAATAACGGGGTAAAAACAAATAGTGCATCTATATTACCTACCTACATATTTTTTTGGAACAGCCTTAAACATCTTATGAGCCTTGTAAGAAGTGTTTCGATTAACTCATTGACACAAAAGATTACTTCAGTGTATGTCGTTATCCTACCATGTCCCTACAATATCATTTTCGATTGGACCAGCTTTATTTTTTTTATCTCTTTAACTGTTCCAGAGTTATGGTACTTGATAGTTGGAGATATTCAAAATTGTGTGGTTTCTGGATCGTAAATTTATAAACCCCTTTATTAAAATGATTGAAATTTTAATGTTTTGGAACACTAAACACAGATTAATTTAGATTTTTTGTTGTTTTCGCTTTAACCATTCCAGAGTTATGGTACTTAACTGGATTATTTCAAAATTTCATGTTTCTGGATGATAAATGAAGGACAACTTTTTTGGAATAGATTGAAATTTTAATAGAATGGTTTGAACTACTTAAGATACTGTGAATTCATTATTATTCGTATGGTATTAATTTTTCGTGAATTTAGTGTATAAAGGAAATCCACCAATTCAAATGTTCATCAAAGTAAAAATTTTCTTAAAATTTACCCAGATTTGAACCTTTGTTACTTGAATTTCCTTTTGCCTTCCTTTCAAAATTGAAATAAAATTCTTACAGTTTGTTTTGTTTGTTGTCGAAACATCAGTTTTCAGGCGAAATGAAATTAAAAAAGAAGACAACATTCAGATAAGGTCTGTTTCTATATTACAACATCTAATAAAATTTCACAGTATGCTGCTACACTAGATCACCAGATCATCTCTATTGTTTATTTTCAGATAAAACCAAAATTAACATGGAGAGATGCCATTAGAACTATAGGAGGTAAAGCTTTTACAGCTCAAGACAAGAAATCCATTATTACCAAAGGCTGGGGTCCATTGATGAGCCTAGGGGGTCCTTCAAACTCTGACATGAAAGAGACAAGCTCATCTCCTAGCATGTTCATGCAAGATCAAGGACTTGCTCCGCCAAATGTCACATCTGAAATGATAAATTCAGCACAGCCATTTAAAGAATCTCCAGACCTGCCACCAACAAGTAGTGATTCTCCACAAAATATGTCATTACTCAGGTATCATCTAACATCTGATGAGTTCAACATGTACTACAAATTTGGTGCAGAGTTGGCAAAAACCATATGGCATAGTAAAGAACAGTTAATAAAGGCCAAGGACGATCGTGAAAAATCCGCAGCAAGTGGGGACAATGTCAACAGTCAAATCTCAAATAGTGGAGATGAAAAGAGCAATGATGCTGATGATGAAAGTAGCCAGAGTACTTTGGGTGATGGTAAATCCTCGTCATTCTTCAAAGAGAAATCAGATAATCCAAATGTTATAAAGACTGATGATGGTGTTATGTATATAAAACAAGAAGTTGATTCTGATCAAGACAGTTAATACTGGGATTAATGTGTTAGGCAGTCAATATGTATTGGTAGAAGAGGACTATTAAAGTCCTAATTACAGTAGATAATTGTACTAGGGAATCCCCAAAAAAATTTATTTCAGTACTTTTGCATTTGCAGTTATTCTATTTCCATGTATGCTCTTTTATTTCAGGATTTTTGGTAAAACGTCATAAAGGCGTATGAATGATTTCACACCAATTTGTATCAGATTACCAAAAATTTGATGGCATTTAGACAACAACGAAAATTTGTACAATTTCTTTGTGAACTTAATATTTTATGTTCTCATAATAGTTTATTCTTTTACTTTAGGGGTCCCGACAATTTTTGGATTTTACTTTAGGGGTCCCAACATATTTGGATTTTACTTTTGGGTTCCCAGTCCATAAAAGTACAAATGAGAAGTAATGGCTTGCTGAAGCACTTACATATAGTAAAATGAGTTAACTGCACTTTTCTTCATCATTTGTGATGATAAATTTGTGACCCCTAAAGTAAAAGAGTGCTATAATGCCTTCTTTTATTTGAGGGGTCCCACAACCTATATATAGGTCATTTTTATGGGACCCTAAAGAAAAAGAGTACTATAATGCCTTATTTTACTTTAGGGATCCCACAACCTATATACAAGATAATACTATATAAACAATCAATACAACAGTATAAATTTTAAATACACTATATATTGTGGGACCCTCCCATTTTTTAATAATAATGTTGGGACCCGTAAAGTAAAAGAAGGCCAAAAATCTGATGTTGAAAGCAAAATTAAAAGTCTTAATTGTTAACTGTTACCGTATAAACTCGCCTAATAGTCGATCCTACTATAAGTCGGGTGCCCTTTTCAGCTCCAAATTCTAAGGATTTAGTCTTGACCCTCGTATAAGTCGGACAAAATTTGGGCATTTTTTTTTTCAGCTGACAGTAACTGAACGCCGGTAAAACCAATGCAAATCCAGGAATAATATTCATTTCTGCATTAATGTTTGTTTGGTTTGAATTTAGTTGATGCTCATCATGATAATTTATATTGCTGTTAATAATAAAGATGTATTCATTTCTCTTGTTTTGTTCACTGTTCAAATGTTTGATTAGCCATGTGTTGTTTACGTAATGCATCAATGATTTTGTAGGGTATGACTAACAACCTATTGTTTGAGAAAAGCGTATATAAACCAATATGAACCTGAAAAATTTAAAGTCAATCAACACTTGATGAAAATATTTTTCACAGCATACATAACTTGGTGTTAAATGAGCATGTACACTTCATAATTCTTATTATATTGTGATGATTAAAGGATTAAAAAAATTAAGTGAAGCTAATCAATATATTAAAATAACTAACTCCAACTCATTAGTGTCATCTGTTTACCTATCACTGATAGTTTTCACACCTTTAGTAAATACAACTCTTTGTCTCTTAATTGGGGTTATATTGGATTATATTGGCTTGTCAATCAATTTTGTAATTTTTGTTTACCTGAGACACTTTAATGAATAATATTTTGATTTTGGGAATGAATCTTAAAATTATTTTTTTATTATTATATGATTTATAAGCATTGAATTGATATCATGATATCACAATAATGACACAATAACTCTGCTGAAAACATCCTTTCACATATTTGGTACATTGTTATCTCCTTTTCATTTTTGGTTCTTGGCTCTTCTTTTGGGTTTTTAGGAAAACCATGTGACCATGAAAATCAATACACAAACCGGAAACAGTAGAATTTCAACACGAATTTGCAGAAAATGTTTACCAAAGAACAAATAAAACACAAAGACAGTATTGGATTTTTCCTCTGGTCGCTAGATCTCGTCTATTAGTCGGTCCCCCTCTCTGGATTATGAATTTTACTCCCAATTTACCGACTAATAAGCGAGTAGGAACGGTAATTTCTGTCAGTTCTTTCAAGATGTGCATTTCCAACCTTGTCACCTGTTGTATGCAGCTTTATTGGTGCATTAACAAGAAGCTTTATATTGCTTAAATTAAGTGATTTATATATATATATAGATATTTTTGAATTTTATTTGTGTAATAAGCAAGTCTGTTATGTTTATTTTTCATACTATTTTATAAGAATAAAGAAGGAAACAAAAAGAGTTTTAAGGGAAAAGACACAAGCTAAATAATGCATATTTTTGTAACCCAGATTTATAACATACCAATGTGTCTATCTTTTTCGTGTTCATTTATAAATTATCGAAATGTTTTACTTAAATAAAACTTTTGATATAAGAATAACGTTACCTGAATATTCAAAACATGTTCCTTTATTTAATCTGATAATGAAATCATATATAAATTGCTTTATAGCATCTATCACCAGCATCAGGAACGGTTTAAATTTCAGTTTACTTTTTCAAAAAAGTTATGCCATAAATTCATAGTGTATTGTTCAGGCCTCAGTTAATGATGTAGGTGGTTTTAGTAATAAAATTCAAAATTAATCAAAGAATTTAATTTTGAAAACAAAGTATTGCAATTTTAGATTTGCTGTTCGTATATGGGCTTCTTCCTTATTCAGAGGTAACAACACCTGTCTCATATTACATTACATTTTTGGAAATGTCACAAACATCAGTGTTTTTGTAGCCTCTAAGGTGCAAACATTTAGATATATATGTATAAGCTTGTAAATTACTTTTTATGACCCAATATTCTGTTTATATTTCTTGTCCTGTTTTCATGTACTTTTCCAGAAAATCTCCTTTTGGTTATTTATGTTTGTCAAACTTGTTTTTACTGCCTCCTAATATTTTTTATTGTAATTGGAGCTTATTATACAGAATGACCTTTGATGATGATTGTATTGCATTGTTTATCTCCACAAGAAAAGATTCACGTTATTTGTTGACAAATATTGGTATGATTAAATGTAATATAATTTCTCAATCAAAAATGAATGTAGTTATGACTTGAATAAAAAAAACTTGTTTGTAATAATACAGATGACATATTCAAAATTTAATAAAGGAACTTTATGCCATTGGAGGGTAGGATGGAAATTTTAATTTTTGGACCATTGGTTGTAGGACATTTAGGGTTGTATGTAAAATACCTCAATGAAAGTACATTGTTCTCTTTGGGTTTTTTTTTTTTGGGGGGGGGGGGGGGGGGAGGGGTACATTGGAAGTCCCTTCCTATCCTCCATCATTTTAATGGAATAGTCCTTAACATCTTGATACAGAATTACTACATTTACTTTTATTAAAAACAACATTTTTAGATCCAACCCAAAATGAAAATTAAAAAAAATGCCCTCTACACCTAGGTACATATAGGAATAACATCTATAGTATACATACAGTTTAGTGTAGGTTATGGCATCTATTAAATTCACAATAAACTTACCATGCTTATTGTACCTTAATAAAATGAATCGACCACTTATATGAAATTCATTTTGTATGGTCTAAAATCTTTTTTAATATACATTCTGTGATTTGTAAATATGGTTAATGTTTTGTATCTATTTCAGATTATGTCTAAGTTACACACATGGTGATTCAATGAATAGTCATTGTTGTTGAACAAGGGTTTGAAGGAAGAAGGATTTTTACTGAATCACCCTGTATGTAATGTAAATTGTTGCATGTAAGATATTTATAAATCATGTACTAATTCCTATATGCACATCTATTTTATACACAAATTTCTTTCAATATATAATATACATAGTATTTTGTTTTCACTGTTTAAGACCTTTTACAAAACAAGTGATGTATGAATTCACCAAAATATGTTTAGAATTATGAGCTTTAATTCAATATAGTAAAACATTTTATTCATCTACTCCTACTTATGATGGAAAAAAATCATATGTATGGATTTATTTCTTTATCAATAGACATTAACAAATGAGATTATTGTAAAAGAAGAGTTAAAAGTGTATTTCATTCTACAAGGGCACTTTTTTTATATAAATATAGATTGGTTGTACCATATATATTAGATTGTGATACTTTTTCTCTGTTTTGTTTCATCAGTTTACTTTGTAGTTCTTTTCTGACGTGTTTAATAAACTTTTATTTTTATGTTTTTTACCATTTATTCATTATTAAAAATAGATGAAAACAGTACAAATAAGATAACTAAGAACTAAGAAGGTTATGACTCAATCAGGCATAAGTTGACCTGAGCTGAATTAGGCCATTCTTTTAAGGTCCCTTTTTAGCTCACCTGGCTAAAACATAGGGGTAAAATGCAAGTTTTGTCTACTATCTCGAAAACTGCTATAGATAGCAAAATCTGACAGGGGCAGAAATATTCAGAATGTTGAGATCTACCTATTTTCTATCAATATCAAAACCGTCAGACCACTTCTTACCGAGTTATTGCCCTTAAATGACAATTTTGTATTTTTGCCTAATATCTTAAAAACTATAACTGATAAAGAGAAACTGTAAATAGCAAAAATGATAAGCAAGACAAGATCTACAATTAAGTCAACAATGCTGAAATCGTTAGACGACTCCTTAATGGAGTTTTTGCACTATAATGACGATTTTTACCAATTTTTGGCATTTTTGCCATATATGTTGAAAATTATATTAAATAAGTAGAAACTTAAATAAGCAAAAATGATCAGTAAGACAAGATCTACAATTAAGTAAACATTGCAGAGATCTTTAGTTGACTCCTTATTGAAGTTATTGCCCTTTAATGACGATTTTTCCCACTTTTTGAATTTTTGCCTACTATCTTGAAAAGTATTTTAGATAGAAAGTTACTATAAAAAGCAAATATAATCAGCAAGACAAGATCTACAAATAAGGTAATATGGCTGAAATCTTCAGTTGACTCCTTATTGGAGTTATTGCCCTTGAATGATAATTTTTATCATTTTTTTGCCTTTTATCTTAAAAACTTAAGTAGATGAATAGAAACTTTAAAAAGGAAAATCATCAGCAGGAAAAGATTGACAAATATGTCAACATGACTGAAATTGTCAGTTATCTCTTAATAGAGTTTTCCCCTTTAATGATGATTTTTTCTAAAAAAAAAAAAAAGAGGGACGAAAGATACCAGAGGGACAGTCAAACTTATAGATCGAAAACAAGCTTACAACGCCATGGCCAAAAATAAAAAGACAAATAGACAAATAATAGTACAGGTGACACAACATAGAAAACTAAGGACTAAGCAACACGAACCCCACCAAAAACTGGGGTTGATCTCAGGTGCTCCGGAAGGGTAAGCAGATCCTGCTCCACATGTGGCACCCGTCGTGTTGCTTATGTTATTACAAATCCGGTAAATAGTCTAATTCGGTAGGTCACATTAGTGAAAAGGGAAGGGTATTGTAATAGCGACATAAGGAACATATCCGATATCATCTGTGAAACGGTTATTCCATAACGGTCAACCAACTCGTGATGGCGTCCGTAAAATTTACGAAGGGATGATTTCAACTTCACCATTTGGAAGTCTTGGTTTAATAGCTTCCTTGTGAGCAGCAATCCTCTATCAAGGAAATCATGATAGGTAATACAAGCCCGGGGATATTGTATCAATTGGGAGATATATACTCCGTATGCAGGCGCTGCTGGAATGTTGCTACATAGAAATGGAAAGTTCACAATTGGGAAGCTGAAATCATCTCTTTTGTCATAAAGTTTTGTTTTCAACCGACCCTCATTGTCAATTGCTAGATATAAGTCAAGATATGAGGCAGACTTAACTATATCTGTAGTATCCTTTATCTTTAAAAAGTGGCCACCATTGTTGAAGATGCAGGTGAGCAACACATGCTCTTTATAGCCTCTAGTTGTC